CCCGCCGCGTGGGCCCGGCCCGGCGCTGTGCGGGCCCGGCGGCCCGCGGCGCGCGCTCACCAGCAGCATGCTCTATTTCCAGATGGTGATCATGGCAGGGACGGTGATGCTGGCGTACTACTTCGAGTACACGGACACGTTCACCGTGAACGTGCAGGGCTTCTTCTGCCACGACAGCGCCTACCGCAAGCCCTACCCGGGCCCGGAGGACAGCAGCGCCGTGCCCCCCGTGCTCCTCTACTCGCTGGCCGCCGGGGTCCCCGTGCTCGCGGTAAGCCCGGCGCTGCCTGCGCCTCCACTCCCCGCCTTCCCTCCCCTTCGGGGCTGAGGCCGCCCGCAGGGTCGCGCCTCTGCAAGCCTTCGCCTTCTAAGTTCCCGCAAGTTGTTGGCAGCCCCTTCCCTAGAGGACATTCTTCTAGGGCACGCGAAGGGTGGGTGGGAGGAAGCCCCCTGCTCCCTCGACACCCCACCCCCGCACGCCCTGCGGTGGCTGCTGTGTTGGTGGTTGAGGAGGGGGATGGGCACGGGGCAGGGGTGCTGTAAAGAGGCCAAGGATGGTGGTTGGGGCTAGAAAGGAGGTAAGACATTGGGAAGTCTTCACTGAATACGTGGCCTTGCTTCGCTAGACTGGAAGATGAGCAGCCCAGGGTTCTGCTAGGAAGGGGATCCGATTCTTGGGTGCGGAAGGGAACCCCTGCTTCCAGAGTGGAGGCACTTATTCCTAAAATATCACCCTTTTCCTTTTGGAGATGAGCATGCTAAATGGGACCAAGTTGACCAGGAAACAAATGTGGAAAAGAACAGGAGAATTTCTAAATGAAGAAGCCACGGCAGTGCTTTGCTGACAAGCATGGCTAGTGCTTCAATGGCAAGAGAACTTCAGATTTATTTAAAGGAGGCTCTGGAAAAGCTTAAGTCCTTTTCTCTTAAAGCCTGAATATATATGGAAATGCCTTTTTGGGTGTATGGATTGTGGTGTGTGTGTGTCTGTGTGTGTGTGTGTGTGTGTGAGAGAGAGAGAGAGAGAGAGAGAGAGAGAGGTTGATAGTTATTAACATAGTTATTGGCATAATGATCAGGTGACAATTTACATGTGTGATTATGGTGCAAAGTTACTGGAAGGAGAATTGGGGTTGTTTCCATCGAAAGCCTGCTTCAGCATGTTTTCTTTGACAAAGTCCTGGAGGTTCCCTGCTTGTATGTTTAATAGATCTAAAAATAGAAAAATGAGAGGAGAGGGAAAATGAAGTTTTATTATCAGTGGCTCAATGTGCATATTCTAATAATGAATGTTAGGAACATCTGTTATGCCCATTAGGTTTGATATTTGGTTTATGTTTGGTTTTAGGGAGTTTATTTATTTATTTTTTTAAGTTAAAGACTCCACTCCACCTCCCCACACACAAAATGGAATTCCACAAAGCGAGGAACTTGTTGATAACTTCAGAGTAACTTTATCACACATATTGCGATCTTTGACTTCAAATTCAGCTCCAGCACAATAACCTGAAATGTGTTAGACCCTGCACCAGGATCTCACTTAAAAAAACAACAAAACAAAACCCCAAACTAAACTCACTGCCATCGAGCCAGTCTCAACTCAGTGACCCTGTAGGGCAGGCTTGAACTACCCCTGTGGGCTTCCCAGACTGTCACTCTTTTTTTTTTTAAGAATGAAATTTATTTATTCATTTTTATTTATTTATTTATTTATTTTAAATAGTTTTATTAGGGGCTCATACAACTCTTATCACAACCCATACATACATCAATTGTGTAAAGCACATTTGTACATTCATTGCCCTCATCATTCTCAAAACATTTGCTCTCCACTTAAGCCCCTGGCATCAGCTCCTCTTTTCCCCCCCTCCCTCCCTGCTCCTCCCTCCCTCATATCTTACTGTCACTCTTTGCAGGAGTAATTGTCTTTCTCCTGAGGAGCTGCTGGTGGTTTGAAACTGCTGACCTTGCAGTTATCGGCCCAATGTATGTGTATTTGCTACAACAGAACACAATACCCCAGTCCAGCTTCATGTTTATGCTCTCTCCCATCCACTTAAGAAATTGGATGGGGGGCGGGGAGGAGAGAAGAAAAAAACCATCTGTTTTTAGGGCCATGTTTTACGGAAAAACAGAGTTTTCAAGGATGTTAAAGAAAAGACAAGGACAAAAGCTGGTCACTTTCCAGTCATCCGTCAGGTCACAATCATAATCAAGAGTGGTTATAACTCATCACTCGGTAATTACTGTCCGATGTCTTATTTAAATGGGAGAGAAAATTATCATCTACTGACCATCCGTCCATGATTGCAGGTGGCAGTAAGAAACAAAAACACATTGGCCCAAAGACGTTGATTATTTTCCACTGAGGGGTAAGAGGTGACAAGGGCGGGAAGGGAATTAAGTCATTGTTGTCTACTCTGTGTGAGGCTCTGAGTAATCATTGTTACTAGTTCTTGTGGAGTGATTCAGACTCTATCCATGTCTTCAGTGGAGAACTGATCTATAGTTGTCTTTTTTCCCTTCAAACTGATTTGGTGGCTGAGATTCTACACACCAAATTATACACCAATTCAACAATTTCTATACGTACACTTTCAGTGATACTTATTATATTCTTTCAGCTGTGAAACCATTCTCTTTCTCCTGTTCTGAGTCATTTCCCACAGGGTTTTCGAAGGTGCACTTGCAGAAGAAGATTGCTGGGCTTGTCTTGTGAGGTGCCTCTGAGTGGGTTTCAGCCACTGAGGGGGTTTAACCTCCAGTTAATGGTAGCGTGCTTAGGTATTGGCATCACCCTGGACTCCTGAATAGCCATGCTCTCATATTTTTCCCACAGCAGCTCTTCCAAGAGATTCGTAGCTCCGGTTATCATTTGAGGAAACTGAGTTTTAGATATTCAAAAAACACCCCCAATTAGTAATAGTAGTGTGATATTTGTATGCCCATGGGACTGATCCCAGCTACATTATTTCCACAGCTCTGGAGATCATATTTCTGAAGGAAGAGCAGAGATGGTTGATTGGCAGGCTGGCAAGATATACGTGGGAAGGTTTTAAAGGGGAGGATCCAAATGGACCTAAAGATTGTGACTTTCAGTTCTTTACAAAGGGCTTGGAAGTCTGTCTGAAGTAAAGCAAACGCTGAGTTCGGGAGGATAGCCATGCTACTGAGTTGGGTTTCTCCTTCTGTGTCTTGGACTACATGCTGCCACCACGTGAGGGTTGGGCTCAGTATTGGCAGCCCCACCTCTCGATTCATCTCAGGAAAACTCACCGCAGCCATTCTGTCATAAAAATAATTAATGTTAATACTCACTGCCATCGAGTTGATGCTGACTCATGGTGACCCTCCAGGACAGGGTAGTAGTGGCCCTGTGGGTTTCTGAGATTGTAACTCTTTTTGGTGGTTCATCAATAGAATTCTTGCGTGCTGCTTTCATTTATTCTTTTAACAGTTTTATGGACACTTCATCCACATGTCAACAATTCTATAATTCAATGAAATCAAGAAGAGTTGTACAATTCAATTTTAGAACATTTTCTTGTTTGCACTCATGGTTATTCATGTAGTTTTTTTTTTCCCCCAGGGTAGCAAAAGTATACACAACAAAACATTTGCTAGTTCCACACCTCCTCCATGTATGATTAAGTCCCATTGATTATACTCTTTGTATTTGCAACCATTATTGATATCTTTTTTCAAATTGTTCCACCACCGTAATAAACATAAACCAACATAACCAGCATAAACGCAATATAATCTTTAATGGATGTAGAAGGTCTTTCTCTCGAAGAGTAGCTAGTGGTTTCAAACGGCTGACCTTGCGGTTAACAGCCCAATGTGTAACCACTATGCCACCAGGCCTCCTTCAGTATTAATAATATCCATCACCGTGGAGCTATCACTTTTTTGGGATTCTCTAATAGGCTTTCTACATATACATCTCTCCCCACCAGGCCACCCCTGCATTCCCTCTGGCAGCTGCAGTGTTGGGCATGGGAGGGAACTGGGCCTCTAAGGACGTGACTGATGGTGGTCAGGGCAAGGAGGGCTCACTGTGAGAAATATGTGAGATAAGACTAATCAGGAGTCCCAGGGTAGTACAAAGGATTACCAGACTGCTAACCAAAGGTTATTGGAACAAACCCACCCAGAAGGTTTTTATAAATAAACTAGATCATCTCTAAATTGAAATTTTAATATTTTTTTATCTTCGTATTGTGCTTAGGAAAATTGAGACTTCGAGAAATTAGATTATCTGCTTAAGGACCAAGGCTAAAAAGAGTGACAGTTAACGTTTTTACCTTAGTCTGTCTATCCCCTAAGCCTGTTTCTGTTGTGCACATACATTATATTCACAAATCAATTTTCTACACAAATGGCTCCAACAAAGATTCTTTTTTCTTGTATCTTCGTGTAATTGTAGAGGTGTGTAAACACACACGCACAGTGATGACAGTGAGTTTTGTTTAAGACGTTTGCTGTGAGAAATAAATAAGATTAACCGATTCAGGAGCCCCAGGGTGGTACAAATGATTGTCAGGCCGCTAACCAAAATTTGGTGTATGTATATAAACAAGCTCACTGACATCTAGTTGGTTCTGACTTATAGCAATCATATAGGGCAGAATAGAGCTGCCCCTGTGGGTTTCTGAGACTGTTTAAGAGAGTAGAAAGCTTCATATTTCTCACGAAGAGTCTGATATTTTTGAACTTCTGAACTTGAGAAGCTCAGAAACATATATGTATGTGTATTAATATATATAGAAATATATGTTATTTCATTTAGAATCCTTTAGAACACTTTTGAAAAGTGGCTTCCTCTCATTGCCAAATATGCTTGTTTCTTAATTGTAAAAGTTTATATATCTAATTTTAAAAATATGCCTTTTGCACTTTGTAAGCGTTATTATATAGCATGGGTTTGAGTCTCAAGTTTGGGAGCTGACAGATTTGAATTCAGATCCTAACTACTCTCTGATGCAAAGTTGAGAAGTCTTTACTTGCTTTGTAACTTTGAACAATGAATCTAAATTCATTAAGCCTCAATTTCTTAAATCATAGACATTTTAATATTACATTCACTATAAGATTTAAATAACATCCTTGGTATTTTATTAGCAGTTATGAAGCCATAACATTACTAAAATCCCTCAAAAAACCAAAACAACAAACAAAACAAAACCAAAAAACCAAACTCGCTGCAATCAAGCCAATTCAGATACCTAGTGACCAAAGGACAGGGTCAAACTGTGTTTGCAAGGCTGT